ATATACACACACACACACACACACACATATATATATATATATATATATATATATAAGTTGTCAGTTATTATCAGTTGTATAATAGCAAATTATCACAGTTTTACTGTATTAACAACAGTAATTGGTCAGGAACTTGTAACCATATAACTAAATACAGTTGTACAAGAAAGGTATTTATGGGAAACCTGTTGACAAAGAAAGAAACGTTGGCATAGATCCTAATAAAATAGACAGAATAAAAATAATACAATATTTAGGTATTCAATAAGAAATCTATCATGCATTCTATTTCAGAAGTGACAGTGCTCCTGCATGTAACCATAATGTTAATCCAGACACTAACTACATTCAAACTGCACAAAACAAACTGTTAATATCCTGGTGTCTGGCATTTCCAGGAAGACAGACTTTATATTAATAGCACGACTGTGTATATTTCACCTTTAACAGCCGATCATCTAAACCCATCTCATGAAAGTGCAGCGTATCCTCCTCCATCTTCACACGTGTGTTTGCGCACAGACGAGCGAGACGTTAAACTGCGCTGCGCCTCAGCGCCACCCACGGTACTGGAGGTGAACTGCAGGTCAAACCACACGACGTCGCTTTCATACAAATACGACCGCCTACGAAGAATAACAAAGTCTAGCAAGCAATTCAAGAATCTTTACGTCACATTTAATGTTTTTGCACGGTCTCCCGTGTTGTATTTACAGCCAAACGCGGTTTAAGGCGTTTCACCTGCAGTTACTCCGACTGACCGCTTGATGCCGCTGATGCGAAACGCCCTTTTGATGAACTGACAGAAGACAAACAAAAGCATCAACGTGGAGGAAAAACAGAGCACGAACACAAAATACTAGTAAGTTTCACCTCTTAAATGTCGCAGGACATTAATCAACACCTCTCCTAATAGATAAGTCCTAAATAAATATCTGTGGGTACGGGAAAACTGCATTAAACCGCCGTCACTGTAACGCTGCTGCAGTAGGAAGTAAATATAACACACGCTGCTGTTGACCTACACAACAGACAGACTATTTATTTCATAGATTTAATTCGTGCATTTCTATTGTACATGCATGTGTCCCAGAGCACTCAGTATACTTTCTTTTGCATTACAAGGAGAAAAGAAAATCTGATATGGAGACACAGGTATAGCTAACGTACATGATGAGAATTTGTTCATCGTTATTGTGCATAAAGATACACTTTTTGATTTATTATTGTGTAAGCTCTAAATGTTTCTGTGTTCAGATGAGGCAACGTGTGTTCACCGGGGTGGTCACACAGATGCAGGAGCATCATGGGATTGTGGATCAGGAGGTTCATTTTCCAGTGAGGTTTGTGTGTTTGGTTTATTCTGAACAGTGTTGGGGAGTAACTAGTTACATGTAACTAAATTAAGTAATTTAATTACAAAATAAATGTAATTGTAACATTTACTGATAAAAAAAGTGTAATTAAATTACAGTTACTTATGAAAACGTTAAAGTAGTTCACTTCCAGAACAAAAATGTACAGATAATGTACTCACCCCCTTGCCATCCAAGATGTTCATGTCTTTCTTTCTTCAGTCGTAAAGACATTGTTTTTTGAGAAAAACATTTCAGGATTTCTCTCCATTTAATGGACTTCTATGGTGCCCCCGAATTTGAACTTACAAAATGCAGTTTCAAAGGGCTCTAAACGATCCCAGCCGAGAAAAAAGGGTCTTATCTAGCGAAATTATCCATTATTTTCTAAAAAAAAATTACAATTTAATATACTTTTTAACCTCAAAGGCTCTTCTTGTCTAGCTCTGCCTGAACTCTGTTTTCTCCGTTTATGACAGTTAGGGTTGGTCTAAAAACTCCCGTCTCATTTTCTCCTCCAACTTCTAAATCGTCCTACATCGTCCTACATCGCTGCAGAAGTACCGACCCAGTGTTTACAAAAGGGCCTTTCGCACCACTTTAGTTCCAGAACTAAATGTACAGTACTAAAGTACTGGGACGATTTTGCGCGAAAACAGCGATGTTGAACGATTTAGAAGTTGGAGGAGAACATGAGATGGGAGTTTTTAGACATACCCTAACTGTAATGAACTGGAAAAAACAGAGTTCAGGCAGAGCTAGACAAGACAGCTTTTGAGGTTAAAAAGTATATAAATTGTAATTTGTTTTTAGAAAATAATGGATCGTTTCGCTAGATAAGACCCTTCTTTCTCGGCTGGGATCGTTTAGAGCCCTTTGAAACTGCATTTTGTAAGTTCAAACTCGGGGGCACCATAGAAGTCCATTATATGGAGAGAAATCCTGAAATGTTTTGCTCAAAAAACGTAATTTCTTTACGACTGAAGAAAGAAAGACATGAACGTCTTGAATGACAAGGGGGTGAGTACATTCTCTGTAAATTTTTGTTCTGGAAGTGAACTACTTTAACGATTACAAAGGGAGTTACATCAGTTTTTTTCACACACACCCACATACAGATTTAATTGATTCCTTTCATAAATTGCAGTGACTGCTCTAAAATATGAGACACCAATGTTTCAGGAGTTTAAGACACATGCTTAGTCGATAACTGTTTTATTTACTATTTGGATTTATGCATATGCTTTATTTTTTAAGATGAACTGTTTTTTCCAAGGCATTGTTAGATGCCAGTGTTACCTGTCATGACTACTGTATGCAAAGATTTGATTTCAAAAACAGTATAATAGCAACTAAACTGTTTCTTGTTATGGTTTTAAATCTGTACGTAACCTCAGAATGACCTCAAAGTAAGTTATTTTGTGGTAGCTGTGCTTTAAATTATTATAATCTTAATTCAAGTGATGAAGGACTAATCAGTGTTGAGTACTGTAAAATTAACCCTGCCTGGTTTATATGTTTGAAAATGATTAACAGTTGAAAACATTAGAAATGTTGAAAAGTAATCGAATGTAATCAGTTACATTGCTTTAGTAAAGTAATTGAAATAGATACACTACTTACTACATTTTAGACAGGGTAACTTGTAATCTGTAACCTATTACATTTCCAAAGTAACCTTCCCAACACTGATTCTGAATCATATTAATCATAACCTGAGTGTCAGGTTGATGTGGTGCTGTGAGGTCTGTTTGTGGTTTGTGCCGCAGTGTTGTGGTGGGTCGTGTGCCCCTGGTGGGAGAAAAAGTGTTGGTGAAAGCGGTCCAGGACCCCCTGAAGCCCATCAGCTGGACTGCACAGAAAGTTCAGACGCTGAACGGGCAGGTGGGCAGAAAGGTTTTTGGCTAATATTTCAATAACATCCTCTTTAAAAGGTCGCTATATAATAGAAATGCACATATTTTTTGTGTGCATCTTAGTGTATTTGCATTAGCAGTGTTTGTAGAGTAAATAATGAAAGTAATACTTTCTTGTAGTTTCTTTTTTTCATGATTTTGAACTGAAGTTCACATTGACGTGTTTTTAGTTTTAAAGCACAGAAATATGAATTTCCACTAAACATGCACACTGTGAAATATTAGAATTTAAAATATCGATCTTATATTTGAATGTGTTTTAAAATCTAATTTATTCCTGTGATCAAAGCTGAATTTTCAGCATCATTACTCCAGTCTTCAGTGTCACGTGATCCTTCAGAAATCAGTCTAATATGCTGATTTGCTGCTCAAGAAACATTCCTTATTATTATTATTATCAATGTTGAAAACAGTTTTGCAGCTTCATATTTTTGTGGAAACTGTGGTAGAATGTTTCAGGATTCTTTTATGACAGAAATCTTTTGTAACATTATAAATGTCTTTACTGTCACCTTTGATCAATTTAATGCATCCTTGCTGAATAAAAGTATTAATTTCTTTTAATAGAATCTTATTGATCCTAAAAGGTAGTGTACATGAAATTGTGCACATATGTTGACTATTTTATGAAAATAGAATTTTGCATGTAAACATGGGCCAACAATGAATATCTGTAACAATGAAAGGTTCAATTTGCCTTAATTATAAATAATGTTTTGTTTATTAACATTTATATGAATCATTTGAGAACATGATAGTTCTTGGAGGTTAAAATTAAATACAATTTTTAATCTAAAAATGTAAATATTTGGTTTCAAGATGCTGTGTGTTTAATAGGGATGTAACGATTAACCGCGAGCCGGTTAAAATCGATTCAAATATGTGACGATTCAAATCGGTTGAGATGCCAAACAAATCGCGATTCAATTAGGGGTAGGAGTTTATATGAATGTATGTCTGAGGGGAACTTCCTGTCTTTAGAAAAGTTTAGATGGTATTTTTTCTTTTCATCTTGCCTCTGTATAATGCATAT